TTTTTTTTGTCACCACTCATTCAACTCATTTGCATACTGAGTCATATCTCAAGAAGTTGCCTTGACAAGAGAAATGCATATTTAAACATTACCACATGATTAAATTATTTTTATTTTTACCGTAATCACTTCTTTTGCTCAATCAGCACGAGAGCACTTCCAATTCACTATTCTAAAACTACTTTAGGCTTTGAATCACTGGCTTATCTTTTTCCTTTTCACAAAAGTCACTCTATTGTCATGAAACTCCCCTGAGTTATTCCTCAACTTCAGGCTTTAAGTGTGTTAAATTTACACTATGTAACACTGATGAAAGATAAGAAGCTGATTTTCATTGCATGTGTGTTATTAGGCAGGTTTAATCGATGTCTGTGCAGTGGAGCTGCAGATCCAGCAGGGCATGTTCTCAAAGCTGCCTTTCCTACACATTTCTCTGCTATAATTTGATCATTTTTTAAACTACTACCAATACTGAACCTTGAGCTACTCCACAAGCAATATGCATCAAATTAGATTTATATTCATTTATTTGTACATATTGTTGCCTATTCCCTACATAGCTTTTTAACCAGTCCAAAACCACTCCCCTACCCACACCTTTCCATTTTTTTAATAGAATTTCATGATTAACAGTATCAAACGCCTTCTTTAGATCTAAGAAAACTCCGAGCGCGTACCTCTTATTATCCATACATTCTGTTATCTCTTCCATTAAATCTATCAGTGCCAAAGTTGTTGATCTGTTGTTTCTGAACCCATACTGACTATCTGTCAGTAATTCATATTTTTCCACAAAACTGTCAAATCTTTTTATGAAAAGTTTTTCCAGTATCTTAGAGAACTGGGAGAGTATTGACACTGGTCTATAGTTTGTAAAATGATCCTTTTCACCTGTTTTGTAAATGGGAGTAACTTTAGCAACTTTCATTTTTTGTGGAAAAACTCATTTTTGAAAAGACAAGTTGAATATATATTTTAATGGTTTTACAACACCATCAATAACTGTCTTTACTGTTACCATATCAATATCATTCCAGTCTGTACTGGTTTTGTTCTTAAGTCCTCTAACTATGTCATAAATCTCTTTCTCTTCCACTGCTCTTAAAAACATTGAGCTTATAGGTATATATAGGGTATTCTTTTTTATTTTTGCTGGCATTTTGTAGTCCTTTAGTCATCCATGGTCTTCCAGCATAATTGTGTTTCCTATTAATCTCAATTACTGGACAGTTTTTCTCAAGTAATGTTCATAAAAATGCTTCATAAGCTTTATTAACTTCTTTTTGTTCATATACAATATTCCAATCATGCTGTAAAAGTTCATTTCTAAGACAACAACAAAACACCACTCCGGTTCAGATCCGGGAGGCCGTTCCTCCCAATCACGCCCCTCCAGGTCTCGCTGTCGTTGCCCATGTGAGCATTGAAATCTCCCAGTAGGACAACAGAGTCCCCAGGCGGAGCACCCTCCAGTACCCCACCCAGGGACTCCAAGAAGGCTGGGTACTCTGAACCACCACTCGGCGGATAAGCGCAGACAATGAACAGGACCCAGGACCCAGAGGTACAGGGAATGAACCCTCTCATCCACTGGAAGAAACTCCAACATACAGGCAGCAAGGATACCCACCCAAGCCCGCTGCTTCTCACCAGGGGCACCGGGAATCGGTCCGCCAGGATCTCCACTCCTAGCAGCTGCTGGGCTCACAATGCACCCGACCCTACTGCACCTCCTGCAGGTGGTGGGCCAGCAGGAACATGTGCCCTTGTCCCTTTCTTGGGCTGTGCCTTGCCAGGCACCATGGACTAAGGCCCGGCCACCAGACGCTCGCCCTCGGGCACCCTCTCATGGGGCTTGGCTCCAGGGTGGGGCCACGGTACAAGGCTAATAGTGAGCTAATAACATTCGTTAGCGTTTTCTAGAATATTTACAAACAAAATCCATTTTTTTCAATTACATTTTATTTATATATCACAAAATTACAACAACAATCACCTTAAGGTGCTTTGTACTGTAAGACGGATCTAGAGAAACTTTCTTCTGGTGGCATGGAAATCAAATGGGGTGGCAAAATCAAAGCCATTTCTTTACACGTATGCAGGCGTTTCTGCATATTCTGTAATATATATTATATATGGTTAAAATACATCAAGTGCAGTAAGTATACACATGTTTGATATAAGCACGGTCTGTAACTTTATTATTGGTTTTAGACCTATCAAAGTAAACATGTGAATTTTGATTTGATTTGAATAATAATGAATAAAATGTAATTAAAAAAAAAAAAATAGCTAGAAATGCATAAGAGAAATGGAACAAGCCAATCACAGGCTGTGGCAACCCAACAATTTTTGTTGTTACATTTCTATGGCAGTCCTTGTCACATTAGGGCAGTGGTTCTTAACCTGGGTTCGATCGAACCCTAGG